GGCCCCTTCATATCTAATGACGGTAGGCAGGTGAGTCATAGGATGTAGCAGGGAGCACCTGGCACGCTCCCTGTCAGCCCCTACCTGTGAAAGAGGCAGGCCAGACAGATATGTATTTGAGCCACGAAATGAATCAGCCATGAATCAAATGATTTGGTGGACAGTAATTGTCATGTTCATAGAGGTTCAAAAGGGGAGGCGAATTCCAAACCTCTAAGGTAGTTGGTTGACTGACTCAGGTCATCCAAGTTTTTGTTCATGAGAACACTGAAAAGGTGCCAGTTATTGATATTGTATGGAAATAGTGGGCTACAAGTATTTTAATCTACATTAAGATAAAACAAAAACATACTTAATTGTAATTCCAACATTAATGACTAACCAATAGCCTTAGTGTGATATTCGCGTAAACTGTTTCAGCCAAATGATTGCACACACTTAAAGATGTGTGACATTGCACCAGCAGATACACACTTCCACACAGATAGGTAGCCTACAAACACTAACACTCCATCTCTTTCTCCCCCAACCCCCCCCCCCCCCGCTATCTGTTTTGATACAATAGATTGGTAACCAATAGCATTGCTGGCCAGCATTGAGGACTTCAAGTCATGCTAAATACTAGAAACACACTTCAATATCAAACACTTAACAATGAGCACAATAACTAATAGCCTATTTTGAATGGACTTCTTAAGGACTTTTCAGTGATTTAATTGAATGCAAGATCAGAATTTTTATATTGTCAAAAACAATTCAATAAAACTGTGAAGTTTGTTCAATTTCACCTTTAGTTTGTGTGAACTTCTTCGAAGGATAGGACAATTGGTTGGGATATCAACACTACCCAGCGGATTGACTATTATTGATAGATGGGTTGTTCCACCAATTCGGTGCCTTTTGAGAAGTGTAAATTGGTCAAATAAACGTTTGATTTCACCGCATCTTAACATTCTGTTCAACTTCGGAAAAAACAACTATTCCCATCTCAAGAGGTTAAATTTAAAAAATGCTATAGTAAGTGCCGATTAAATGCCCCAAAAAAGTAACAGGGTTGACCATAACAGGGTTGACGATTTCAGCTTGAATCAGCCATCCCTAAATTTCTTCCCTGGTCAACTACAGTGCATTCGTAAAGTAGTCAGACCCCTTAACTTTTTTCACATTTTGTTATGTTACAGCCTTATTCTAAAATGGATTAAATCGTTTTTTTCCCTCATCAAGCTATTTTCAGGGGTCTCTCCAGAGATGTTCGATCGGGTTCAAGTCTGGGCTCTGGCTGGGTCACTCAAGGACACTCAGAGACTACTCCTGAAGCCACTCCTGAATTGTCTTGGCTGTGTGCTTAGGGTCGTTGTCCTGTTGGAAGGTGAACCTTCGCCCCAGTCTGAAGTCCTGAGCACTGGAGCGGTTTTCATCAAGGATCTCTCTTTACTTTGCTCCGTTCATCTTTCCCTCAATCCTGACTAGTCTCCCAGTTCCTGCCACTGAAAAACATCCCCACAGCATGATGCTGCCACCACCATGCTTTACCGTAGGGATGATGCCAGGTTTCCTCCAGACGTGACGCTTGGCATTCAGGCCAAAGAGTTCAATCTTGGTTTCATCAGACCAGAGAATCTTGTTTCTCATGGTCTGAGAGTCGTTAGGTGCCTTTTGGCAAACTCCAAGCGGGCTGTCATGTGCCTTTTACTGAGGAGTGGCTTCCGTCTGGCCACTCTACAATAAAGGCCTGATTGGTGGAGTGCTGCAGAGATGGTTGTCCTTCTGGAAGGTTCTCCCATCTCCACAGAGGAACTCTGGAGCTCTGTCAGAGTGACCATCGGGTTCTTGGTCACCTCCCTTACCAAGGCCCTTCTTCCCCGATTGCTCAGTTTGCCAGGCGGCCAGCTCTAGGAAGAGTCTTGGTGGTTCCAGACTTCTTCCATTTAAGAATGATGGAGGCCACTGTGTTCTTTGGGACCTTCAATGCTGCAGAAATGTTTTGGTACCCTTCCCCAGATCCGTGCCTCAACACAATCCTGTCTCAGAGCTCTACGGACAATTCCTTCGATCTCATGGCTTGGTTTTTGCTCTGACATGCACTTTCAACTGTGGGACCTTATATAGACAGGTGTGTGCCTTTCCAAATCATGTCCAATCAATTGAATTTACTACCGGTGGACTCCAATCCAGTTGTAGAAACATCTCAAGGATGATCAATGGAAACAGGATGCACCTGAGCTCAATTTCAAGTCTCACAGCAAAGGGTCTGAATACTTATGAAAATAACTATTTATGTTTTTAATTTTTAATACATTTGCAAAAATATCTAAAAACCTGTTTTTGCTTTGTCATTATGGGGTATTGTTTGTAGATTGATGAGGGGGAAAAAATATTTAATCAATTTTAGAATAAGACTGTAACGTAACAAAATGTGGAAAAATTCAAGGGGTCTGAATACTTTCCGAATGCACTGTATAAGTGCTGTTATTGTGTAGTGGAAACGTGTAGGAGCAACAACGGCTCAGCCGTGAAGTGGTTGGCCATACAATACACTGAGTGCTGAAGCGCGTAGCGCGTAAAATCGTCTGTCCTCGATTGCAACACTCACTACCAAATTCTAAACTGCCTCTGGAAGCAACGTCAGCACAAGAACTGTTCGTGGGGAGCTTCATGAAATTGATTTCCATGGCTGAACAGTCGCACACACGCCTAAGATCACCATACGCAATGCCAAGCTTCGGCTGGAGTGGTGTAAAGCTCGCCGCCATTAGACTCTGGAGCAGTGGAAACGCGTTGCCTGGAGTGATGAATCATACTTCCCCATCTGGCAGTCTGACTGACGAAGCTGGGTTTGGTGGATGCCAGGAGAACGCTACCTTCTCAAATGCATAGTGCCAACTGTAAAGTATGGTGGAGCAGGAATAATGGTCTAGGCCTCTTAGTTCCAGTGAAGGGAAATCTTAGCGCTACAGCATACAATGACATTCTAGACAATTCTGTGCTTCCAACTTTGTGGCAACAGTTTGGGGAAGGCCCTTTCCTGTTTCAGCATGACAATGCCCCCGTGCACAAAGCAAGGTCCATACAGAAATGGTTTATTGAGATCAATGTGGAAGAACTTGACTGGCCTGCACAGAGCCCTGACATCAAACCCATCGAACACCTTTGGGATGAATTGGAACGCCGACTGTGAGCCAGGACTAATTGCCCAACATCAGTGCCCGACCTCACTAATGCTGTTGTGGCTGAATGGAAGCAAGTCCTAGCAGCAATGTTCCAACATCTAGTGGAAAGCCTTCCCAGAAGAGTGTAGGCTGTTATAGCAGCAAAGGGGGGACCAACTCCATATTAATGCCCACGATTTTGGAATGAGATGTTCGACGAGCACTTGTCCACATACTTTCGGTCATGTAGTGTATCTTATTCCAACATAGAGTTATGAGCCATTAAACACACTCTGTCCACTTCACAGCCCCTTCATTGTATGTGGTTGATTTTCACAGTGTTTGTATTTGTTTTTCAGCAACAATTGAACCAATTTACAAAGTTTTTTGAAAAAGTAAAGCCTTTATTTGAAAAAACAGTAAAGCCTTATTCATTGAACAGTATTTATATTTAACATAATAAAAATAAAGTAAAAGTAAAAATACATTCAATATAGTTGAATATTTGATTTGACATTGTAGTTTTTACTCCACTCAAATCTTCATATCAATGGTTAATAAAACAAACAGTAACCATCTGATATTTGGATGAAAATGAAATATTTTAATAAAGTGAAAAAAGCTGTAAACATTTGTGTTAACTCCATTTTTTGTTGAAAACAAGGAATGTTTTTTCAAACAGGAACAGGTGTGTGTGTGTGTGTGTGTGTGTCTATGAATGTTCCTGACTTTCAGTTGGAGTCGCGTGACTCACAGTTTTAACAAGCAGATCCGAACTGGACCAAATCTGAATCAATCATTGACGTCTAAGTTTGGACAGCACAGAAGTAGAGCACAGTATTTACAGTAAAGTAAATGTGTATTCAGTACAGTAGAGTACAGTAGGGTAAAGAAAATATAGTTCAGTACAGTACAGTATAATGAACTGTATTGTATCCTACTGTACTCTACTGAATTAAACTGAACGGTACTGTACTCTACTGAATCAAACTCAACTGTACTGTACTCTACTTTGCTCTTCTGTACTATACTGAATTCAACTGTACTGCACAGTACTCTAATATACTGTACTCTACTCTACTGAATTAAACTCAACTGTACTGTACTACACTGTACTGTATTGCACTGTAATGTAATGTACTGTATTCTGCTGAATTTAACTCTACTGGACTGTACTGTGCTGTACTTTGCTGTCCAAACTTTTGAAACATAAACTTCTTTACAACGTCCGGAAAATAAGTATTCTAGGCATCTTTTCAACTTCGTTTAGCTTTCTGGGTACATTGTTACAATGGGGATGGTTGTCAGATTGTGACAAGCAACCCCAACCAACATCAATGTGACATCCATCTCCCCCTAATGCTAGTTACCACATGGCTTGATCTAGGAACTTCCAAATAGGCTTGAAATAAAGCTCTCCCTTTTTTAAATAAAACACTCCCAGTCCAATCATACAACTATTTATTAAAGAAATACCAAGCATAAATATTTACTTTCACCCATGAAAAATTAAAAAATTCCTCTCACATCAATGTTTTGTGATCCTGACCTGAATTGACCACATGAATGCCCTCTCCTATAGAGGACACACGTTTCTATCTTGAAATGATTACACTGTGACAACCAACCCGTGAGACAACCAACCCCGGTCTCCCCTACTGTGTGCGGTCAAGTGCAGTCTGCTCCTTGAAAGAGAAACTGGTGGTGCACGCTCAGTCAGCTGGCATTTAGCCTACAACTATAGAGTTCATGGGACACAAACTGGTTTGGTGGATTCAGCTTGCATAACTGAATAATATTTTTGGGGAAGTTTTCTATTCTGTCTGAGTTGATGTTTGCACCTTGGACATCATGTCGCGTAGGAAGCAAGCAAAGCCTCAACATGTACAGTCGGATCATAATTCGTCTTTATTGGAAAGCATGGGTAAGTTTGGGACAGGACTGTAGGCTAAATGTTAATAAGGGAAACTACTGTGCAATTGAAAATGAAATGTATGTAATTTAATAGTTGTGTGCAATTCTGTAGTGAGTTTGGGGCAATTTTAGCCTGACTTTAGAAGTTTAAATTATAATTGTTTCATTGAGTGATGACTTACAATAGAGCCTTCACATGCAACTTTTCTTTCATGATTTTACCATGCTAAATATGATTGTTATTCCAATTGTCTGTATATTTCATTGTCGTAGGTCTATTTATTAGTATCAGAGTAGATCTAATGTTGCCTAAAAAAAGTTTGAACAATGATCACAATTCAGTTTTCATGTCAGACATTGTTTATATGCCCCTTTTAATTGAACAGAAATAATGTATTCTGAAAAGTTAGTTAATATTTTGCACCCAGCATTCCCTGGAAAACAGTGGCAATTGTTACTGAGTGGACTATCCTGACTAAATAAGTCAAAATTAAATGACATTTTCAATATTTTTTTTATAGGCAATAAATGATTAGGCTACATTAAATTAGATTGAATTTATAAATTCTATTTCAAATTGCTGAAAAAGGTGGGCAATTAGGCTACTGTACGCTACAGGACCAATATATATTTCACTGTCCTTGTGATATTCCTAACTGCAATAATATTTATAGAGGAAAACTGTTATTATTAGTGCCAGAGGTTTATCATAGAGTAGGGAGGGATCTGAACAAAATACCAGAGCTACTCCTCCATCCCCTTGTGGCTCAGTACCTGACACCTTTGTGAGTGGAATCTCTCCTAAGCTTGTAGAGTTGGAAAAGCCTTGAGCCCTGAGACTAAAGGGTTCCCCTACATTGTTGTATTACTGTTGATAGTAGGCAATTACTCTGTATAACATACAGCTAATAAGTTATTCCCCCACAGGCAATGTCACTACAAGGGGTACAAGTGCATACAATAGCTGCCTTTGTCTTCCTTTCTTTTCCCCAATGGGTCAGTCAACCAGGGGGTGCTCTACAGAATATAGTAAATAAAGTCACAGGGCAGAGTGGGGTAAGTTGAGCCGTTTTTTTTTTTACATTCAGCATCATTCAGTCAAGGGAAATATAATATTCGTTCTAACAAAGATATCTACATGTACAGTATTTCAGGATGTTGTGTATTCATGTAAACATTACAGATTTGAAAACATAGCTTGTCCAAAAAAAGTGGTCTCAGGTATGGGGTAAATTGAGCTGTGGGACAGGATAAATTAAACCGCCTACAAATATCTGTACTGAATGAAATATTACCACTACCTTTTTTAAACCATGTCTATCTTTATTTGCCAAACACAATTCACACAATCGCTTTTTTGTCCTTTAATAATTTTAAGCATCTTTTAACACGTAGGCGTAACACCTAACAAACCCTTTATACTTATTTTTTACACTTGTTGTTACCTCATATCCCAGCGATAATGACTTGCATTATGCCTGGGAAAAAACGCTTACATTTGATCAACTTGCCATCGGCTCAACCATTAGCTCAACTTACCCAATGGCCATGGGCCATGGGCTACCACTTTTTCCATGTGCTTTCTTCCTTCACAGACTCCATGAAAAGCTCATCTCTTCCTAAGTATTTGGTCAAATTATTAATTTGGTGTATGGTTTCCTATAAACAAGGGTGGCTCAACTTACCCCACTCTCCCCTAATATAAATTCTCTATATAGTCATAGCTGTGGGAAGTAGGGGTGCTGAGGGTGCTGCAGCACCCCCTGAAAAATCCCAATAAAAAAAATGTTTTCAGCATCTCTGCTTTGGCAAAAAAGGTGGTTGTATAATTAAGAACAGTATCTTGCAGGATTCAATAGTTGGAATTGTAAGAGTTGTTGCCCTGTCCTTTTCTCTGCAATTGTCATTCTAATGGAATCCAGAAAGAACAAAACCCTGTCCTCAAACATTTACATCAAAAGGTGCAAAGTTATGTGCAAAGACACAAAACATCCACATTTTCAGCATCCTTACCCCCCCCCCCCTCCCCCTGGCAAAATAAATTACAGCACCCCTCCCCCAAACTACTTCCATACCACTATGTATATAGTAATAACCCTTGCTTCCTTCTTGTCTGTTTCAGGGGGCACACACCAGAGTTTTGGGACTCCCCCCACCTTGGACTATTGTGCTCATATCTGCAGCAGATGCTGTGCTAAGTTTGTTGAACTACCAGATCTGGAACTACATGTCAGGGATTGCTTTTCCAATCAGTTAGTCCTGATTGTCAATGACAATGAAGACCCAGTGTCGTCTGCTGAAATATTCCCTCTGGCCTCGTCGCCCAGTACACCAGGGGAACCAAGCGAAACAGTCAACAACTCTGAAATGGAAGAGTGCAGTGATCTGTTGGAGGAGAAATCAGAGGGGAATGAAGACTCTATGGACGTTTCCAGAAGTAAGAGTAGCAATGGCCGGCTAGATAGCACCAGTAGCAGCCGGAGCAGCAGTACTGACAGCATGACGGATATTGTCTCATGTATCTCAGTTCTCCCAATTTCACTACCTCAACCTGGCAACAACCTGACGGAACAGCAGGGGACATTATCATGGTTCAACAGCAACGTCGTCATTGAAAACATAGAGAGCACTAAAGTGGCCGTGGCCCAGTTTTGCCAGCAGAGCCGATCGGATACCAGCAGTAAGATGGCAGTCTCATCTCTGATGGAGAAACTCCTGGCTCTGCAGCTGCAACAGATCCACCAGCTGCAGCTGATTGATCAAATTCGTCACCAGGTCTTACTGTTTGCCTCCCAGAGGTCTGAGGTATCAGAGACTCCGACACAGACACCCACCAGCTGCCCTCAGGGTAGTCTAGCATCAACGCATGCCAGCCAGCTGACAACCCTCAGTTCTCATCTATCCCAGCAGCTAGCTGCAGCCACTGGGTTAGCCCATAGTCTTGCCAGTCAGTCTGCCAGCATCAGCCACTTTAAACGATTAAAAGCAACAGTACAGTCACCACAGAGCCCCCTTGGTAGCAGCATTGTGCACTCTAGCACCGAACCCTTACAAAGCATGGGTAAACTCATAGCTTCAGCAGTTAGCAAGCACCACTCTAGAAAGAAGTACACTCATGCTAGTGGTCTGTACCCTCAACTAAATGTTTCAACCCAAACCAAAATGAACTCACCAGCACTTGGCACAGGTAGCTTGCTAAACCCATCAAATAAACCATGTCTACCTCAACCACCATCCAGCAATCAAACACTCTCTAGCGCTGGACCAAGCATTGGTGCAATTGTGGAGGATCGGAATGCTTTGACGGCGTTAGCCCAACAAAGGAAAGGCAAACCAAACAATGTGACTTCTTTAGAACGCAAAAGGTCTTCTGAACAGGCTTACTTTAAACACAAATGCAGATTTTGCGCTAAGGTATTTGGGAGTGACAGTGCCATGCAGATCCATTTGCGATCCCACACTGGAGAGAGGCCATACAAGTGCAACATCTGCGGGAATCGTTTCTCCACCCGTGGGAACTTGAAGGTACACTTCCAGCGGCACAAAGAGAGGTACCCCCACATCCAGATGAACCCTTACCCTGTTCCAGAACACATGGACAATATCCCAACCAGCACAGGAATCCCTTATGGCATGTCTATGCCACCCCAGAAACCAGTCACATGCTGGCTGGAGAGTAAACCATCCCTAGACACCTTGACTACTTCTGTTGGCCTGTTGCTCCCAAATGTATCACTCAACTTACCCTTTCATATCAAGAAAGAGGAGCAGCCTGTCTCAATAACCACGCCTTCCAGTCCAGGCGTACGTGAATCATCCAGTGTAGTAAAGTCTACCAAGAGCATTGACCTTGTAGAGCCTGGAAAGGTCCCCACCTTGAATCTGAAAAGAGAAGATGTTAAACCCCCTTTGACCTTTGTCTCAAAGATGAGCTCGACAAAAGAGGGATCAGCTGACTATATATCCGCCAACATCACTTCCATAAGCACGAATCCCATCAAGTCGGAGCAGTTCAAGATCAAACATCCATTCGTAGGAGGAGTCCATGATCCCCTGCAGACATCAGAGACCTCGAAACTCCAGCAGCTGGTGGAGAACATTGACAAGAAGGTGACAGACCTCAACGAGTGCATCATTTGCCACCGCATACTTAGTTGCCAGAGCGCCCTCAGGATGCACTATCGCACCCACACAGGAGAGCGGCCCTTCAGATGTAAAGTGTGTGGACGGGCGTTTTCCACCAAAGGGAATCTAAAGACGCACCATGCGGTTCATCGTGCCATGCCGCCACTGAGGGTCCAGCACTCCTGCCCCATCTGCCAGAGGAAGTTCACCAATGCTGTTGTCCTACAGCAGCACATTCATATGCACATGGGCGGCCAGATTCCCAACAACCCTCTCTCTGAACAGAGCTACCCAAAGGCAATGGAGTCTGGTGGAGGTTCAATGGATGAAAGGAAATTAGAAGAGTTGGAGAACCTTTCTGACAATGATATGGACTTCAATGACAGTACGATTGCAGGCATGTCCAGGTTTATTAACTCCTTATCTGGTAGCTTGTCTCCTTCTGATAGTACAGGAGCAGGCTCCTTTGATGCCCAGATGAAACTCAACTATCATAGGCCAGTGGAGGAGATGCAGGTCAGCTGGTTTAAGACAAAGGGAATGGCTAAAGAGGATCAACAGGTCTATGACTCATCATCTCTTGGAGGTGACCGAAGTGATGGGAGACTTGCTGTTTCTGAGAATACAGCTGCCAAGCACTTTTTTTCCTCAAGCAAGAGTGTTCCAGTATGTTCTAGCCCCACAAGCTTTGAGGAAAGTTACCAGAATGCTTTATCCCAGGCACATATCATTCCAAGCCCTCTGCAGTTCACTGGCACTGGCATGGCATCTCTTCACCACCTAAAATCTTTAAACCCACTAAAGGATCCCACTAATATGGTCCACACATTCTGTGAACAACGAGGCATTTTTAAGAACACTGCATGCAATATTTGCGACAAGAGCTTTGCCTGCCAAAGTGCCTTGGACATCCATTATCGAAGCCATACCAAGGAGAGACCATTCATTTGCACAGGGTGCAACAGAGGGTTTTCCACTAAGGGGAACCTCAAGCAGCACATGCTAACCCATCAGATGAGGGACCTGCCATCCCAGTTGTTTGAGCCCTCCATTCCCAACCTTGCTTCCAGCCCCAATTCCTCTGTACATCCTCTGGGCTCCCAAATGATCAAGCCAGAAGTGAACAGTTTCCTGGGTAGCGCCCCCTATGGGGAACCAAGGGATCTTCTAGGCAGTTTGAGTTTGAGGATGTCCTCAGCCTCCCCCTCACCAGAGCTCGCTGTCCTGCCACCTCGACGAACTCCCAAGCAGCATTACTGCCACACTTGTGGGAAAACCTTCTCTTCCTCCAGCGCCCTGCAAATCCACGAGAGGACTCACACTGGGGAGAAGCCATTCGCTTGCACTGTCTGTGGTCGGGCATTCACCACCAAAGGAAATCTGAAGGTACGTTCCACTTTTGCATTTACGAGATAGGGTTTAGACTGATTGTCAAGCAACAAAATGTAAAAACTGTGAAAGGGATGGACACTGTATATAGAATCATGCTCAATTCTGCGTTGTTTTTTTGGGGGCGTTTCATTCATTAGTGCTGCACGATTAACAAAACAAGTCCTTTTTGGCTAACCAAGGCAGTCAACTAAGTTAGCTAGCTAGGTAGCTGTTTAGCGTTCTATCACATTCGCTAATTTGTTTGTAAATAATGAACAAGCTAATTAGCTACCACATGTTCTTGTCAAACTGTCAACGGAGTAGTTAGAATGCAACGAGATATGCCAAATAACAGTCTAAAAATCACTTGAGGGCAAACAAATCAGATTTGACGTACAGACACAAGTCACATGGCCAGGAATCAGATTTGTATCTGACTTCAAACCACCTACGAAGGTCTTGACATCCCAGAATGAAAATCTCGCGCCAGCTCCTCGATTAGGTTTTTGGGGAGATATATGAGAAAAGATACTAAAACGAGGAGCGGAAGCAGGGCGGTAGCTCCACCCCCCTCGCTCTGCAAGTTTTGGTCAATGCTATGGGCCAAATGACCCCTCCACTTCCCAATTTCAAAAGGTGCTCACACCTGCTAAATCGTGAGATATTAAGTATATTGAACCATTACGCTGTGATATTTTTCTCATAAAAGGAGTGTACCTCACCATTGCTCTCTTCCTCATGTAGGTCCATATGGGAACTCACATGTGGAGTAGTGCCCCCACCAGGCAAGGACGCAGACTGTCTGTGGACGGACCATTGATGTTTATGGGAACCCATCCTGTGAAGCTATCAGAGCCTCCTCAGAGGCCAGACATTAGGTCCAGTAATGAAGACTCCTTTAGTCTCTGGAACCACCATACAGACTCCTTCTCTAAGAATTTGACTATGAGGACCAATGATATCTCAGTCATCCAGAACGGAGGTGGACCTTACCTCTCTGGACCAATTGGGCATGGGGCCAGCTCACCCAAAGGTGGTGTAAATGTTGGTCTAGACAAATTACCCCATACAGAACACAATTCTTCTTTGACGCTGCCTGGGGAAAATGATACAGAAAGAGCGACTTACTTCCGTTTCACTCATTTGATAGAGGAGAGGAAGGAAATGATTGCCAATTAAAGAGACTGTATATTATTTTAGGGGGCGGGAAGGCTACAGTATATTGTTGATGGACTACAGCTTTCTTTTTTGAAGGAAATCAACTGCGATGCTGGAATAGACTGATTTTCTTTGAGTTTGTGTATAACTGATAATAACCTTATTTGGAGTCAAGTGTCTAGTAAAGACCCCCTGCTTTTCAGTGTGCTTATTTACACGGCTAAAATAGCCTACTGGTTGTGTAATTATGCTTAATGTTATGGTTTTTATCATTCTAATATAATTTTGAGGTGTTGATTATGTTATTGAAGAGGAACTCACGTGTAACATACTTTGTCATATCTTTGTGAAATACATGGATAGATAATTTATGTGTCAATATCAATGTTCTAATTTACTTTATACAACGGGTGGGTCTAATCCTGAATGCTGATTGGTTAAAACCGCATTCCAGCCGGTGTCTATTCCACAAGTTACCACCGGCTAAATCTATGATGTTAAAATGCCAAATTACTCTGTTCCATCTGACTGTGCAATCCACAGTCTCATCAGCCCAGCCAGGCAATTTATAAACTTCATATCCACTATAAAAAGCATCTAGACATTATCTTACATTTCTTTAGACTAACATTTAGTTTTCAATAGCGGAGATGTGTATAAACCTTGCTGTCTGTCTCTCTCAACATTTGCAACATTGTTTCAATATTCAAATTCGATCTCCAGCTGTCCCATAGTAATGAATGTGTCGGGACGAGACAAATAGGCAGGCAGCGTTTCTCAGCAAGTCGAAATCATACTTTTTATGGATATATACAAAGAAATGTCAATTGAAAAAAGGTCAAACAAAATGAAGTGCAGCTAGTTTGCAGTCTTTCCAGCTTCAGTTTGAAGTGATTGTGTTAGCTGTGTTGTTGGCTAGCTCCTCTGAACAACAGTGTCCTGACAAGAGAGCACATTTTCTATGCCAGGCGAAATCGCGCCTCATTAGCTCATTTTTATGGATGTATCCAAATAAATGTCACTAGAAAACAGCTTAAACAAATGCAAATGCAGCTACTGTTATTCTGGCTGCACTGTTTGACATGACTGTAAGTTAGCAGTATGGCAATGGAACAATTACAACAAAAATACTGAACGACTGGGTCGCGTCTCTGGCAACAGAATCGATAGAACGAACGATCAGCCGGCTTGGGTAGCAACGCTAGATTTGTGTCGGGACTATATCTTGTGGAAGGATGAAATAGTATGAATAAATTCATCCAAAAAAATATGTCAATCATTATTTGAATATGTTGGTAACCCGTTGTATAAAAGTGATAATGACCTTGATGCCATTATCACTTAATTCATGTTAATTTACTATTTCTCAAACACTCACAACAAAATATGAATAATATGTAATAATGACATTTAAAATAAGGAGGCAACATACATTGTACATGTAGGTCAACTGTAAAGCGAAGTACTGTTACTTGAGGTGCTGTAATACATTGTAAATCTTTTTGCCATTGGTTTTCAGAAAATTATTGGCCATTATTGAACAACATTACACTACTTCTGTACCTCAGTTGTTGTAGAATCCTATTCTGTGATATGCTGTGGAAACTGTTATATTTTCCCCTGTTCAATTACAATTGACAAACAGATTAATGGTAAAAATGCACCTCAAAATAAAATAAAAAGATTGAGATGGGTTATAGCTTTAATCACGTCATTCTAGATGTCTCTCCTGTGGGCGGCAGGTAGCCTAGTGGTTAGAGAGGCGAGCCAGCAACCGGAGGGTTGCTGGTATCAAATCCTAGATGCCATTGCCTGCCATTGTGGGTTTGAGCAAGGCACTTAACCCCCCACAACAACAGCTCCCCTAGTGCCCATTGTGTGCCCCCCACACCTCTCTGTACTGTATGTATGGACCAATAAAGTAATCTGTTTCTGTCCTGAGGTGTTTAGTCACCTTATTCAGCATTCAAGTTTGTCTGCCCTCTGCTGAAGATACCCTTTGTTGATTTGATATGACATATCACCTTCCAGCTAACAGCTAATGGAGACATGCTACCCTAAAGCAGATGAATTTTCAACATGACTTGTCTTTCCTGTTGTGTACTACACCTTGTCACTTTTAAATGGAGACGGTACAATGTGTCAGTCACTCTGGATCACCTAGGAATATTATTTGTGGTTATCTTGAAAGCTGGACTCAACGATGTCATGCTATTGCTGTTACACTATCATATTGTCAATTTTGTCAGTGTTTTAACAAACACCAACAACCATATTTTGGCTTTAGATTTTCAAACATTGCTGCAAATTTCATTTCACATGAAAACTTTTTCACTTTGCATGTTTATTTTCATGTTGCTTTTGAGTCAGGACTTTTGTCTCCAGTTTTACTCTAGGGAGTAAACCTGATTTAAAATTCACCTTCAGTCTGGCTTCCCGCTGGTTGTGAAACACTACCCCATCTAGCCTGTATGGCTATAGCAGTATCGCGGTGAAAAGCTTAACAAATGCACAACACCTCTGACTCATAATGGCCACTATTGACGGTAACCACATTCATCCCACATATCAAATCCCCTGTGAAAGAGACATGGTCCCTGTGCTGTCACAACCTATTATCATATCTGACCAGCTGACAGGGCCGAAACCTTAAACCAGCCCTTCGCCATTAGCATTAGAACATGAGTAATCAACTGGAATGAACCATAGCAGAGCCCAAAACAAAAGGCCAGTTGATCCTAAGCTTTTCAAAGATACATATCTGATAGAGACAGATGAATGTCACACACACACACACACACACACACACACACACACACACACACACACACACACACACACACACACACACACACACACACACACACACACACACACACACACACACACACACACACACACACAGAGTCTTGTACAGCTAACCTTGTGGGGACACAATTCAGTCCCATTCAAAATCCTATTTTCCCTAACCCGTACTCTTACCCTTACCCTAACCTTAACCCTAACCCTAAACCTAACCCTAGCTCCTAATCATAACCCTTAACGTAATTCTAACCCTAACACTAATTCTAACCTTAACCCTAAACCCCCTAGAAATAGCATTTGACCTCGTTGGGACAAACAAAATGTCCCCAGTTGGTGAAATGTTTGTTTGTTTACTATTCTTGTGGACACACACACACACACACACACACACACACACACACACACACACACACACACACACACACACACACACACACACACACACACACACACACACACACACACACACACACACACACACACACACACACACACACATACACATACACACACACACACACACACACACAAACACATTATAAACTTTGTTTAAGCATGTGATCACCTGAGATATAACGTATGCAGTGGTGGAAAAAGTACCCAATTGTCATACTTTAATAGACAATTACTCAAGTAAAAGTGAAAGTCACTCAGTAAAGTATTACTTGAGTGAAAGTCTAAAAGTATTTGGTTTTAAGTATACTTAAGTATCAAAAGTAAATGTTATTGCTAAAATATACTTATTGGGCTCCCGAGTGGCGCAGGTGTCTAAGGCACTGCATCTCAGTGCTTGAGGCGTCACTACAGACCCCCTGGTTCAATTCCAGGCTGTGTCACAACCGGCCATGATTGGGAGTCCCATAGGGCGGTGCACAATTGGCCCAGCGTCATCCGGGTTTGGCCGGTGTAGGCCGTCATTGTAAATAAGAATTTGTTCTTAACTGACTTGCCTAGTTAAATAAAGGTACAAAATAATATTAATAAGTATCAAAAGTATAAATCATTTCACATTCCTTATATTAAGCAAACCAGATGACACGATTTTCTTGTTTTTTAAATTTACGGATAGCCAGGGGCACACTCCAACACTCAGACATAATTTACAAATGAAGCATTTGTGTTTAGTGAGTTCGCCAGATCAGAGGCAGTAGAGATGACCAGGGATATTCTCTTTATAAGTGTGTGAATTTGACAATTTTCCTGTCCTGCTAATCAATAGAAATGTGACGAGTACTTTTGGGTGTCAGGGAAAATGTATGGAGTAAAAAGTACATTATTTTCTTTAGGAATGTAGTGGAGTAAAAGTTGTCAAAAATATACACTACCAGTCAAAAGTTTGGACACACCTACTCATTCAAGGGTTTTTCATTATTTTTTCTATTTTTTACATTGTAGAATAATAGTGAAGATATCAAAACGGGGTGCCTTGTAAGGATCCAACTGCGAGCGAGTAAACTGCCTCTTCCATCAATCCTATTAGCCAATGTTCAATCATTTGAGAATAAATTAGATGACCTAAGATTACGGTTATCCTACCAACGAGACATTAAAACGAGGCTGAACGACGACATGGACAACATACAGCTAGCGGGCTATACGCTACATCGGCAGGATAGAACGGCTGACTCCGGTAAGACAAGGGGTGGAGGTCTGTGTATATTTGTAAACAACAGCTGGTGCACAAAATCAAATACTAAGGAAGTCTCGAGGTTTTGCTCGCCTGAGGTAGAGTATCTTATGACAAGCTGTAGACAACACTATTTACCAAGAGAGTTTTCATCTATATTTTTCATAGCTGTCTATTTACATTTACCACCACAAACCAATGCTGGCACTAAGATTGCGCTGAATGAGCTGTATAAGGCCATAAGTGAACAGGAAAACGCTCATCCAGAGGCAGCGCTCCTAGTGGCCGGGGATTTTAATGCAGGGAAGCTTAAATCCATTCTACCTCATTTCTACCAACATGTTAAATGTGCAACCAGAGGAAAAAAAACTCTAGACCACCTTTACTCCACACACAGAGACACATACAAAGCTCTCCCTCGCCCTCCATTTGGCAAATCTGACCATAACTCTATTCTCCTGATTCCTGCTTATAAGCAAAAACAAAAGCAGGAAGCACCAGTGACTCGGTTAATAAAAAAGTGGTCAGATTACGCAGATGCTAAACTACATGACTGTTTTGCTAGCACAGACTGGAACATGTTCCCGGA